TGTATATATACATATATATATTATAAGGTAATAATTCATTGAGCTTTAATAGATACTGTAGAGTGGGTTGAAGGGGGTAATTTCATTTGGTATGTACTTTGCTAATTGTAACTTTTGTATTTGTAGAAGTCACGGTTGGTTGAGATATATTCATATTCCAGTGACAGTGTTTTAAGTGTGGCGTTCGGGAATGTGTATTGGACTGATTGAGTGGACTCTGAAGTACATTCCTGAATTTCGTCAAGTGCGCGAATCTTGCGAAACATGAAATATTGCTGTACACGAATCTCGCAGGCTATTAAATTGTAAAAACAATTGTTTGGTTTATGTTATTATTGCTAAATAGATACGAAATGATTTATGTACGGATGAGGAACGAAGGAGAACATAATATATTGTATTAATCTTTCAGGAATTTCATCACACTCTACTGCTTATCGTCATATTATCCCCTACACCTTGATATTCTTGACCAGCTTGTGGAGGTCACTATTTGGAAATGTTCCCTTCCCGTCGAGGAAAAATGTCATTTTTGTAAGTTGTTATACTAGAATCACTGAGAAATAATTTAAAACAGGTCGGTTATATCCGCACGAAGGATTGAATCAAAATCGAACGTTATTAAAACGAAATGATGCAAGTCACAATCTTTATTTATTATTTAGTGAAATTGATATTTGTTTTGTGATGATATTATTTGTATTTCCCTTGTTTTTGACTGCAGGTGGTTATCATTGAGGGTTTGCACTCTGATGGACTGTCTTTACTGACTTTCCGAGTCCTGCCGGTAATCGATGTTGTCAGGGGGATAATGCTACTCAGCTGTACCTGTATAACACCAAGTCTCCTTAAACCCATGTGTTCTTCATTGCAAAATACAAATATGTCAACAGCTAGTAAGATAAGCGTGTTCGTTTTTGATATGTTGTCATCCCTCATGCAAATTCCTGCTATACCGGTGGTTGTATTGACTGAGTACTAACACCAGGAATTCGGGAAAGGCATGCGTCATCAGCTTCATCGACATTACCAGCAATATAAATCTACGTCAGATAGAAGAAAAGACACGTTTTCATAGGGAGATCAATGGTAGTGATAATGAAACAGTTATTTCTAACCGATATCACGATAGCGACCATACAACTTGTACAAAGTTTCTTTAACCTACATCTTTTGAAACACTTTTTGTTCTACGTTTATCCGTACATAGCTTCTGCATCTATCACAGCAACATGATACTCGGATCAAGCTTTTGAATACAGAATTAATTGCAATAGTTCAACAAAACTATTCGAAAGCTAATCGAAATCAATGTGTACACTTTAGTGCATGTAATATTTGATGGTTATGTTCTAGCTAAACTCGAGTAAAAGCGGCAGAAGTAGAAGGATCTTCACTGTCCTTGCTTTGAACATCAAGAGGATTATATGAATGTGAAAGTGAAAGACATTGCTGGATTAATGTTATCACACCTGCTAAGCTTTCAATAAATTAAGAAATACAACAATCAAATTCGTATAAATTTACCTGTATCCAAGCTGTCTACATACAACTCTGGCATCGACGTCTCCCCATAAATCGTCACAGACCGTACCCCAGACACCATTATGGTAAATTTCTACTCGACCCTCGTACTGGGTGCCACCATTAACCAGCCGTACAGATCCTAGAACACATTGTTTTAAAGTAACATCAGATATCAAGTACGACTGTATCTTTCATATGCTATTTTAAGATGTTAGCAAAACATGTTTCTACCACAATACGCTGTGTTATTCTGCTCTCAGATCATTGTATAAACATGCAGACTGTTGAATAAATGTGAGTGATACACCACACGTGGTATATGACCTTTCGTAGTTTTGATTGGTCGAGAAGATGCAATTTGACCGTACGAATGTTTTCACGCGCTTTTTGCCTAGTGCTGTTTTGTTTACGTCGTCTGCGGCAAATGTTGGTGACTTTTGTGAGGTTATGCGATGGGAAAAGAGGGTTATTAAGGCAATACCAAAAGAAGATGATGCTTAAAGATTAGATCGCTAGTTTCAGGCAAAATTGCTACAGACGCTCGATATCGTTTCGACGCCATACCGTCGCGTTTCCAGGTCGTGAAAACCAGAGACGTAATATACCGATATATGTCTCTGTGAAATCCAAACAAGATCTGTAATAGTGTCGGAAAATATTTCGTTCTCCCCATGTCCAGTTATCAATATTTGGAGGGCCTGTCTTTGGCGGAACTCTCACTATAAACTTCAACCATAAAACCTCACGAGGAAACGTCCCAGCCCTATGGTTTTGGACATTGACAGCGATTATTTCGTCTTCATCACCTTGCGGGAGGCAGATTTCGTACGATATGCTTACGCGCATATAGTCCGTGGTTAATTTATAAAAAAAGGTGTGTATGCTATTCAAATCAGGAAATACTCAAGATGTTTCCGACTGAGATTGTGGTAGAAACAGATCACACGACATGTGGTTGTTGAATATGGTATTTATTTCACTCGAGTTAGTTAATTTTCAAACGTTACAGAAAGACACTTGCTAAAGCTCGTGTCTTTTGTAACTTTTGAAAATTAACTAACTCGAGTGAAATAAAAACAATATTCAACAACCACTCGTTGTGTAACCTCTATTTAATCTTTTTTCTTAATATTTTCTTTTTCTACATCGACTCATATTTTAGTTTCAAAATACCAAATGTTTTCGTAGCTAAAACTCTCTCCTCTTTTAGTTACTTTACGTTAATTGCAATTTACATTTGAAGAATATTCAACATTAGGAACGTCAATTCTCAATAATTACCATAAGTTACTACTACGACAATCGAAATAATTACCACTAGATACTACGACAATCGAAATAGTTACCACTAGATACTGCAATAATTCTCAATAATTACCACTAGATACTACGGCAATTCTCAATATTTACCACTAGATACTACGATAATTTTCAATAATTACCACTAGATACTACGATAATTCTCAATAATTACCACTAGATACTACGATAATTATCAATGATTACCACTAGATACTACGATAATTCTCAATAACTACCACTGGATACTATGATAATTCTCAATGATTACCACTAGATTCTACGGCAATTCTCAATAATTGCCATTAGATACTACAGCAATCGAAATTATTACAAACATCTAAACATGTATTAAATATAAACTACTGTTTGTATCATATCTGTATACATATGCTATCGTTCATTGTTGATTACCTTCCAAATTCTCTGTGGAGGAATTTATAGGAGCTGATGTTGTGACAACCTCGGTGGTCATTTCTGGAGTAGTTGTCCCCCCACTCTGTTCACACTTTACTCCTACGTCCTCACTATGACCACAGTTTTCGTTTTGCCATCCTCCAAAATTACAGTCAATAAGTCTGGTCTCGTTCCCTTTGCAATTGACGCTATCCATCCATGTTGGTTCTATGCCTTCACCGTAATATGCTTCCGTCTTAAAACCAAGCGGGCTATTGAAAATAACACAAAGCTGTATTAGAACCAGAAAAAGCAACGCTAGGTATTTGATTCAGCAATACTGCTGGATAATCAACAGAACAGAACGCTCACGTAAAGTCAAACTCTAGACACAAAAATTGATATCAAAACATGAAGTACAGAACAAAAAAAAAGGTATCACGAAACCCAACTAACCGAAATGTTTCACGAGTGAAAACAGTATCGGAAAAAACAAACGAGAGAAATATTTTTCGGATTCAACAGGGATGCCGTTACATTTTGTATCAATTACATTTTTAAAGTACCTTAAAGTTTGAACAAAAGTGACGGCATCAAAATGTGGGGAGTCGATAGCGTAATATTTGGGGCAATATCTTCAGGACTTCACACTTATTGAACATCTAGTGTCCCATGCAGTGAATAGAAGTACTTTTCTGATTGAACAATATTTCAAAATAATGCCTTGACACTGTGACAGATGTAACTTCTGACGTCTTACAAGGTGTAAAAATAATTAGTTCAATCAAATAGATTGAAACTAAATTTTCAAAATGGCAAAATTTGAATACATTTCATAATACTTACCTGTAACTTGTCTACACAGACCACATTTCATAAGACTTACCTGTGTCCTTTCTACACAGACCACATTTCATAATAATTACTTGTAATCTGTCCACACATATCTCATTTTATAATAATTACCTGTAGCCTGCCTACCTGTAACCTGTCCACACATAGCAAATTTCATAAACTTACCTGTGACCTGTCTATACAGACCATATTATATTAGACTTACCTGTTACCTGTCTACACAGATCATATTTCATAAGACTTACCTGTAACCTGTCTACACAGACCATATTCCATAAAAACTTGCATGTACCTGTGATCTGTCTAGACATAACACATTCTACAATATTTACCTGTATCCTAGCTGGTTACACACAACACGTGCATTGTTCATGCCCCATTCATCGTCACAGACTGTCCCCCATTGTCCCGCGTGGTACACCTCCACTCGACCTTCCATCTCAGACGGACCGTCAACAAGACGTAGATCACCCTCTGTTCAAAAACCAATTTCAACAAATTAAGACATGTTTTTCCGATACAACAGCTGATACTCAATCGACAGAAGATAAATATGAAAATAGTGATACAGGTTAGTACTGTGCAAATAATAAGATAAATTATAACAGGTATTATAAGTTCGATATCTGGGCGATACTGGGGGCCTAAATACTGAAAGAAGATTTAATTTATATTATTATTGAATTACATTGTTTTGACAATGAACTTTAAGTTTTGCTTATACTTAATTTTGCCTTTAATGCGTAAGTGGCAATGGGGTTCAGACTGACTTAGGGTAAAATTTACAAACATCGAATTACATTAAACGCTTTTCTGATTTAAATGATATTGGGCGAAACTTTTGCCTCACATTAACTGTAAAGCAGCATGTTCTCTACTGTACATAGAACTTGGATAATATAATAATTGATCTCTGTAGTTCTGCTTGTGACAGACTACCGGAAGTTTTTGTTTCTCTGACTCAACAACGTCTTGTTTTCTAGGCTACAAACTATATATCACATTCCTAAGATTAAAGAGATTTAAACAAATTTTATGTATATACATATGTGGGTTTGTGAGGGTGTGTGTGTGTGTTGCAACAAGACAGTATGATACAATAGTAAAAATTAAGTCAAGTATCTTACACACCTATGTCAATGTATCGAGCCATAGTCTAATTTGATATGATGTCTATAGCAATTGTGGCGTTACTACTCTAACTTTTAATACCAAAACCGTGGTTTAGCCTATGATAAGTGGATATACATCATCATACTAACACACGTACACCAAATACTGAATTCAACATTACCCTTGGCTGCTGATTGCGTGGTAGAGTATGGAATCGTCATAGTGGACGGTGGCGAGGGCGGGGGGTGACACACTACACCGGCATCCTCGCTGTGACCACAGTTCTCTATCCCCCATCCTGGAAAACCACAATCCATCAGCCTTGATTCGTTCCCATAACATGCCACATCGTCCAGCCATGTTGGTTCTGAACCAGAACCGAAATGCGCTTCTCGTCTGAACGTTCCTCCACTATAATGAATGAATATGATATATAAAATATACTCAAGTGCTGACAATGAAAAAAACTTGTGTATTTTGCATAGGAAATGAGTGCTTTAAGGACACTACCAGGAAAAAAATGGCCATAGTGAGTATAAATTAATCTGTGTAGTATTAATTATCGTTCAGAGAGATTTTGGTTTCTTATATTAAGCGCAGCTTATCAGTACATGCATAAACCAGACACCGAGACGTAAACAAGGGACGTATCTAGGAAAACAACTTGACAAAGACCTCATTGCCAATGACAGTTTTATAAAATCAGCTAAACAGCCATAATATGTGTAATAGTAATATAAAAAAAAGCATCAGAATGCCGAAGTGTCAGTCGATTGAGCTATGGTAAAATATGAGCAACAAAAGAAAGATTCACATGGAGACGCTTGAAATAGAAGAATGATAATAAGCCAAGATGTTCCAGAAAGGTAAGCGTCTTCTGCTTCACCGAAGTCACCAGCCAAATACGCTAGATCAAATTTAATCATAGAAAGGTCTTCAAACTGATAAGATAATGCTTAATGTTGAAGACACAATTCGAACACTCAAAAGTTGTAAAACTAGGGGGGAAATACAGATGTTGGATATCACAACGTTACACGATGTGCGGTGTGCGCACTATGTGTGCACGGTGGGTGAACGATGTGTGCACGATGTGCGAACGATCACTGCTTGCGCACATTTGTGTGCATGATGGACGAACGATGAGACAGACAGACAGACAGCCAGACAGACAGACATTCTTTATTTCCTCTGATAAGAGATTACAGATTCCTACATCTATAAGCTTTTCTTTATGTCTATACTTTCTTAAAATTAGAAATTGTGTTTTCGGTATTTTTTAATCTACTTTAATCGACACATGTGAAATTACAACACAGTCCCGTATACTTTATATTATCGTGTTTAGTCTGCATTAAACCCAACAGCGCACACAGGTTATACTCTGCTATGTTTTTTGTCGATAAAATAACAAATATTTAAATTGTCGAAAATGAGCATTTATTCTAAATGCCAGAAATCGAACATATGTATACATCTTTGCGTTGATTTTTATAATACGGTGTACAAAGAACCAAAAAAGATGGGGCTTGCTTCAAAATAAACGCACCATTTGTAATTAAAAGATGTACAACAAATGAAACAAATATAAAACAAAGATGTGCAACAATTATATTTTTACATAATAGTACATAAAGGTGGATACAAATTAGGGGAGGAGGAGGGTAGCTGATTTTTAAGAAGATTTTTTAAAATGTCAGCATGGAAAAATATTCTGCACGGGTCACGTGACTTTAGTACACCAAAACATCACGTGACTACTTCTATAGGGATGGACTAGTTTCAAAAACGGAAAGTTATCCTCTATCCGGAACCCATAAATATAACAAATAAAAATATAATATACTAACCATATAATATAAATTACTTTACGCATTGCATAAATACAATTATATTATCGTATTTAGTCTGCATTAAACCCAACAGCTCACACGGGTTATACTCTGCTATGTTTTTTGTCGATATAATAACAAACACTTAAATTGTCGAAAATGAGCATTTATTCTAAATGACAGAAATCGAACATATGTATACATCTTTGTGTTGATTTTTATAATAAGGTGTTCAAAAAACCAAAAAAGATGGGGCTTGCTTCAAAATAAACGCCACAAACTTGAACTTAAATATTACCATATTGTTCAAGTGCCCATACTATACAGGTAAACATAGCCACTTTGTACATGTACCTGGTCCGTAGTTTTCCCCCGACCGGGGCGCTTACGTATTTCGTCGGGTAGGGCCAGGGTTGTGAAAACCCAGGTGAAGGGGAGCTATTAGCAAACCGAATGCAAATAACAAATACTAAACGTACGGTATCGCATATCAGCTACATGTGTCAGGTATAGGCCAAGTAAAACTCCGGTCACTCATCAAATTATTATTTACCTGTTCTGTTACCTTGGAGTCTTACCCATTCCACGGTCACTGTAATGCCGTGTTACACCCATTGTAAAACTGTACATACTCTTCATAACTGTGATGAGAAATTACGGTAATACATAAAGTTTTCATTATTGCATACGAACTTTCCGTATTTTTTTCATTCCGTAATATTGATCTACAAATTGTACCAAATCGCACAGTTGTGCGGAGAGAAGCGCACAACGGGGCGAACGATTGTTAAATAGCACAATTGTGCGCACCATGTGTGGACGATGTGCGGACGGTGGGTGAACGATGTATGCACGGTGTGCTCACTCTATTTTTGGTGCGTTGTGCGGTCACACAACTGTATGAACAAAGTCGAGATTCAGATCCTTATAAGGACTCACACAAGTAAATCAGCCAATCAGCAAGTCTCTCATACGATTGTGATCCCTACGTAAAATTTGTTCCGGTTTAATATAGTCACTCTGGGTAATTTGAATAGGTAATTGTTGACATATTTTATATTGAATGACATCTACAGATATTGAACATCAAGAGGATTATATGAATGTGAAAGACATTGCTAGGTTAATGTTATCACACCTGCTAAGCTTTCAATAAATTAAGAAATACAACAATCAAATTCGTATAAATTTACCTGTATCCAAGCTGTCTACATACAACTCTGGCATCGACGTCTTCCCATAAGTCATCACAGACCGTACCCCAGACACCATTATGGTAAATTTCTACTCGACCTTCGTACTGGGTGCCACCATTAACCAGCCGTACAGTTCCTAGGACACATTGTTTTAAAATAACATCAGATATCAAGTACGACTGTATCTTTCATATGCTATTTTAAGATGTTAGCAAAACATGTTTCTACCACAATACGCTGTGTTATTCTGCTCTCAGATCATTGTATAAACATGCAGACTGTTGAATAAATGTGGGTGATACACCAAACGTGGTATATGACCTTCCGTAGTTTTGATTGGTCGAGAAGATGCAATTTGACCGTACGAATGTTTTCACGCGCTTTTTGCCTAGTGCTGTTTTGTTTACGTCGTCTGCGGCAAATGTTGGTGACTTTTGTGAGGTTATGCGATGGGAAAAGAGGGTTATTAAGTCAATACCAAAAGAAGATGATGCTTAAAGATTAAATCGCTAGTTTCAGGCAAAATTGCTACAGACGCTCGATATCGTTTCGACGCCATACCGTCGCGTTTCCAGGTCGTGAAAACCAGAGACGTAATATACCGATATATGTACGGAAAATACGCAAGATAAATGTGACATATCTTGTTACTTTAATAACAAATATTATTTAATCTCCTTAAGACAATTATTTGTAAATCTTATCATTTGATGAATTGACTACTGCTATGCCGAAATCACTCCATTTAATAGACGAATCATTTGAGTCATTCAGTCATATTCATAATTACATATTTTAAGGATTTCTGCAAGGTTCTTAGAGGCAGAGACACATTGACAAGCATATACAAAGTATAAAATTCACCATCACCTTGGAGTGTTGACTGCGTGGTGGTGGAAATCGTGGACGGAGGCGGAGTACAGATTACACCGGCGTCCTCGCTATGACCACAGTTTTCTGCCCCCCAGCCTGGGAATCGACAATTAATCAACGCTGATTCGCCACCAACACACTCAACATCGTCCATCCATGTTGGTTCTGATCCAGCACCGAATGTCGCCTCTCGTGTAAAAGTTCCCCCGCTATCAAATTTGTTCACGTGTAAAATATGCATGAGTTAACATGTCTACTCTGTACATTGTTATTATTTGAAGAGTCTGCATGCACGACAAACGTACTGTAATTACACTATATTATGTATTTCAAGAAAAAAGAAATAGTCCTAGCTTTTTTTGTACATAACGCAATGATTCAATGTTCGACATTTTAATAAAGTAAGTTTCATTTCACAATGTTGAAACAATGATTGCTGTAGATTGTGGCTAGTTATAATAGAGACTATAAATAAGAGGTCCATAGGACTTGTATCGGGCGTCTGTTATTTATTTTACCTCATCCCCGAGAGCCATACTACGTTCTACAACATTTGATTCCAAGGTCCAAAGGACCAAGGATGCTTCATAGAAAATTTAGCTAAAATCCGTGTATATGGATATATGGCTATGAGCTGCAGATCTCAATCATTTCCGTACTGTGACCATGTGTCTAAGTCTCTCAACGTATTGGTTCCGACTATTCTGGTACTTATCTCTGTATGCCTAGCAATACGTAATGGTGTTAAAGGTTATGAGTCTCAACCGCTACCACGTTATGATTCTAGGAATAATACAAAAGGGGTTTGCAAAATGTCGTTTTGGTAGCATACGAGCATCCATCACTTCGTATACAACAATTATATGTTTATTAGTTTGGGGTAGGAATCAAATTAGGACAAAGAGATCAATTCTCCTTCGGCAGGGCCGATTATGAATGCATTGGTAGCATTGCATTTCTCTCTTCATAAGTAATTGTAAATACGATATAAGTGTGAGAGTCTCAACCACTATCTTCAACTTGCTAGTTATTACTAGGCAATAAGTCGCAATAGGCCTATCCCTACAGCATATTAAGGCAACAATCCAACGATGAATCCTGGTAGCAGGTTTATATTCGCTCTTCATTCCCAACAATTGTACAGATAGTTACAGTATAGCGTGGGAGTCCCAATTGTTTCACTTTTAAAAACACGGCAATAATAAAATATAAGTCTACCTCAGAAAAGAGCAGAATCTCGGGACCAACCCCGTTTACATTGAAACATTCGCTATTTCATGCCAATCAGTGTGACTGTGGTGAAGCAAGTTAGAAGAAGAAATATTGAGCAGCCAAGGTGCCCCCAATGTCCACTGAAAATGTATTGCCCTAGTCGAGACCCCATATATTCCTTAATCCAGTCGTGCCATAGGTCGAACCTATGTCTGGTCTTTTATTTTTGAGAGTGTGCTTTTGCCTTGCAACAGTAATGTAGCAAACTAACAGTTGTTATAATTTGTGATGTCGTTCTGGAGGAGAATACGTTGGTAATTAGATTAGCTTATTTTACACTGATTTGAGCCCATCTCCTCACTCCCATTGGGCAACAGACTTCATTAAGTTCCCTTCATTTATCATTGTTAACTTCTGAATTTAGTAAAATAATAAAGCTCGCGGGGAAAAGGAGTATTTTGAAGGTTGAAATCCTCAAAGTTTCCCCATTGGACTAAACCTGTAAGTCCCCATTTAATCAAACGTCTTTCGTTATCAATCGTTTCATTTTCAAGTCTTAATTATCCACAATGTCTAGTAAGTTGAAACACATTTAGTCGTTTATGAAGGGAAAAAGATAACCGGAAAGAGGTTGACGGACGACATAGGTACGATGGACCACCAGGATTGTGCTAATCACATTATGACATTATAAATATATAATTATTTTATTCGCTCAGGCAATAATGATGTTACTGCGTTACAGTAAAGTTCCTTTGACTTCGGTGTAAAAAAAACATTGTGAACTTACAGGTATCCAAGTTGTCTACAAACAACTAGGGCGTCGTTGTTGTCCCATCCATCATCACAGACCGTTCCCCAGACATCGTTATGGTAGATTTCCACACGGCCCTCATACTGCGTCCCACCATTTACAAGTCGAACAGATCCTACAAAATACGTCAAGGTAGTAGACGTATATTACTTAAACCCTTCAGTCTACAGGCAGCGAAATATCATAAGGTCATGTATTGCAAAGGGAACAAAAGAAGACCACAGTGTGTACAAAACTAGTTTGAACTCTTGACGAATATTAACAACAGATTGAAAACGAACAGAATGTAGATCTTTCGAAAGGGTAAACGTCATTTGTTTCATCGACGAGATCCAACGCGCGAATCCTGGTCTTCACCATCTAATATAACGTTCTCAGAGTGGGAACAGCGAAACTACAAGCACTGAGGAAACAGGTGAAGTTAAAACGAAACTACAAGCACTGAGGCAACAGGTGAAGTTACAACGAAACTACAAGCACTGAGGGAACGGCTGAAAATACAACGAAACTTCAAGCACTGAGGGAACAGGTGAAAATACAACGAAACTTCAAGCACTGAGGAAACAGGTGAAGTTACAACGAAATTACAAGCACTGAGGGAACAGGTGAAGTTACAACGAAACTACAAGCACTGGGGAAACAGGTGAAGTTACAACGAAACTACTAGGACTGAGTAAACAGGTGAAGTTACAACGAAACTGCTAGCACTGAGGGAACAGGTGAAGTTACAACGAAACTAGAAGCACTGAGGGAACAGGTGAAGTTACAACGAAACTACAAGCACTGAGGAAACAGGTGAGGTTACAACGAAACTATAAGCACTGGGGAAACAGGTGAAATTACAACGAAACTACAAGCACTGGGGAAACAGGTGAAGTTACAACGAAACTACAAGCACTGAGGAAACAGGTGAAGTCACAACGAAACTACAAGCACTGAGGAAACAGGTGAAGGTACAACGAAACTACAAGCACTGAGGAAACAGGTGAAGTCACAACGAAACTACAAGCACTGAGGAAACAGGTGAAGTCACAACGAAACTACAAGCACTGAGGAAACAGGTGAGGTTACAACGAAACTACAAGCACTGAGGAAACAGGTGGGGTTACAACGAAACTATAAGCACTGGGGAAACAGGTGAAATTACAACGAAACTCCAAGCACTGGGGAAACAGGTGAAGTAACAACGAAACTACAAGCACTGGGGAAACAGGTGAAGTAACAACGAAACTACAAGCACTGGGGAAACAGGTGAAGTTACAACGAAACTACTAGCACTGAGTAAACAGGTGAAGTTACAACGAAACTACCAGCACTGAGACAACAGGTGAAGTTACAACGAAACTACAAGCACCGAGGAAACAGGTGAAGTTACAACGAAACTACAAGCACTAAGGAAACAGGTGAAGTTACAACGAATCTACAAGCACTGAGGAAACAGGTGAAGTTACAACGAAACTACAAGCACTGAGGGAACAGGTGAAGTTACAACGAAACTACAAGCACTCGGGAAACAGGTGAAGTTACAACGAAACTACTAGCTTTGAGTAAACAGGTGAAGTTACAACAAAACTACAAGCACTGAGGGAACAGATGAAATTACAACGAAACTACAAGCACTGGGGAAACAGGTGAAGTTACAACGAAACTACAAGCACTGTGGAATCAGGTGAAGTTACAACGAAACTACAAGCACTGAGACAACAGGTGAAGTTACAACGAAAATACAAGCAATGAGGAAACAGGTGAAGTTACAACGATACTACAAGCACTGAGGGAACAGGTGAAATTACAACGAAACTACAAGCACAGGGGAAACAGGTGAATTTACAACGAAACTACAAGCACTGGGGAAACAGGGGAAGTTACAACGAAACTACAAGCACTGAGGGAACAGGTGAAATTACAACGAAACTGCAAGCACTGGGGAAACAGGAGAAGTTACAACGAAACTACAAGCACTGTGGAATCAGGTGAAGTTACAACGAAACTACAAGCACTGAGGAAACAGGTGAAGTAACGACGAAACTACACGTACAGGGGAAACAGGTGAAGTTACAACGAAAATACAAGCACTGAGGAAACAGGTGAAGTTACAACGATACTACAAGCACCGAGGGAACAGGTGAAGTTACAACGAAACTACAAGCACTGATAAAACAGGTGAAGTTACAACGAAACTACAAGCACTGAGGAAACAGGTGAAGTTACAACGAAACTACAAGCACTGAGGAAACAGGTGAAGTTACAACGAAACTACAAGCACTGAGGAAACAGGTGAAGTTACAACGAAACTACAAGCACTGAGGAAACAGGTGAAGTTACAACGAAACTACAAGCACTGAGGAAACAGGTGAAGTTACAACGAAACTACAAGCACTGAGGAAACAGGTGAAGTTACAACGAAACTACAAGCACTGAGGAAACAGGTGAAGTTACAACGAAACTACAAGCACTGAGGAAACAGGTGAAGTTACAACGAAACTACAAGCACTGAGGAAACAGGTGAAGTTACAACGAAACTACAAGCACTGAGGAAACAGGTGAAGTTACAACGAAACTACAAGCACTGAGGAAACAGGTGAAGTTACAACGAAACTACAAGCACTGAGGAAACAGGTGAAGTTACAACGAAACTACAAGCACTGAGGAAACAGGTGAAGTTACAACGAAACTACAAGCACTGAGGAAACAGGTGAAGTTACAACGAAACTACAAGCACTGAGGAAACAGGTGAAGTTACAACGAAACTACAAGCACCGAGGAAACAGGTGAAGTTACAACGAAACTACAAGCACTGAGGAAACAGGTGAAGTTACAACGAAACTACAAGCACTGAGGAAACAGGTGAAGTTACAACGAAACTACAAGCACTGAGGAAACAGGTGAAGTTACAACGAAACTACAAGCACTGAGGAAACAGGTGAAGTTACAACGAAACTACAAGCACTGAGGAAACAGGTGAAGTTACAACGAAACTACAAGCACTGAGGAAACAGGTGAAGTTACAACGAAACTACAAGCACTGAGGAAACAGGTGAAGTTACAACGAAACTACAAGCACTGAGGAAACAGGTGAAGTTACAACGAAACTACAAGCACTGAGGAAACAGGTGAAGTTACAACGAAACTACAAGCACTGAGGAAACAGGTGAAGTTACAACGAAACTACAAGCACTGAGGAAACAGGTGAAGTTACAACGAAACTACAAGCACTGAGGAAACAGGTGAAGTTACAACGAAACTACAAGCACTGAGGAAACAGGTGAAGTTACAACGAAACTACAAGCACTGAGGAAACAGGTGAAGTTACAACGAAACTACAAGCACTGAGGAAACAGGTGAAGTTACAACGAAACTACAAGCACTGAGGAAACAGGTGAAGTTACAACGAAACTACAAGCACTGAGGAAACAGGTGAAGTTACAACGAAACTACAAGCACTGAGGAAACAGGTGAAGTTACAACGAAACTACAAGCACTGAGGAAACAGGTGAAGTTACAACGAAACTACAAGCACTGAGGAAACAGGTGAAGTTACAACGAAACTACAAGCACTGAGGAAACAGGTGAAGTTACAACGAAACTACAAGCACTGAGGAAACAGGTGAAGTTACAACGAAACTACAAGCACTGAGGAAACAGGTGAAGTTACAACGAAACTACAAGCACTGAGGAAACAGGTGAAGTTACAACGAAACTACAAGCACTGAGGAAACAGGTGAAGTTACAACGAAACTACAAGCACTGAGGAAACAGGTGAAGTTACAACGAAACTACAAGCACTGAGGAAACAGGTGAAGTTACAACGAAACTACAAGCACTGAGGAAACAGGTGAAGTTACAACGAAACTACAAGCACTGAGGAAACAGGTGAAGTTACAACGAAACTACAAGCACTGAGGAAACAGGTGAAGTTACAACGAAACTACAAGCACTGAGGAAACAGGTGAAGTTACAACGAAACTACAAGCACTGAGGAAACAGGTGAAGTTACAACGAAACTACAAGCACTGAGGAAACAGGTGAAGTTACAACGAAACTACAAGCACTGAGGAAACAGGTGAAGTTACAACGAAACTACAAGCACTGAGGAAACAGGTGAAGTTACAACGAAACTACAAGCACTGAGGAAACAGGTGAAGTTACAACGAAACTACAAGCACTGAGGAAACAGGTGAAGTTACAACGAAACTACAAGCACTGAGGAAACAGGTGAAGTTACAACGAAACTACAAGCACTGAGGAAACAGGTGAAGTTACAACGAAACTACAAGCACTGAGGAAACAGGTGAAGTTACAACGAAACTACAAGCACTGAGGAAACAGGTGAAGTTACAACGAAACTACAAGCACTGAGGAAACAGGTGAAGTTACAACGAAACTACAAGCACTGAGGAAACAGGTGAAGTTACAACGAAACTACAAGCACTGAGGAAACAGGTGAAGTTACAACGAAACTACAAGCACTGAGGAAACAGGTGAAGTTACAACGAAACTACAAGCACTGAGGAAACAGGTGAAGTTACAACGAAACTACAAGCACTGAGGGAACAGGTGAAGTTACAACGAAACTACAAGCACTGAGGGAACAGGTGAAGTTACAACGAAACTACAAGCACTGACGGAACAGGTGAAGTTACAACGAAACTACAAGCACTGAGGGAACAGGTGAAGTTACAACGAAACTACAAGCACTGAGGGAACAGGTGAAGTTACAACGAAACTACAAGCACTGAGGAAACAGGGATGCTATGGTCATTTTCTGATACCTAAAAGTTTTTATTATTTGGTTCGACCAGTTGATTTTTTCGACCTCGAGTTTGAGGCAAGATATATTATTCAAATGAAAATCTATAGCTGTTCAACCAGAAAAGCTTCAAAAAAAGAAAAAAAAAGTTCAGACATTTATTTGACCTATAAAATCACTGATGCATGAAAGATGGATATATAGTGTATACAGTTCTTTTTCTACATAATTTTGTTACCCTCTATACAATAATTGCTTCTTTACTTTCAATTCTTTTATCTATTCATGAAGAAAAGTCCTCATTTGAAGTAAACAAGTTTTAATTCTTGTGACAGTTAATAGTAAGGTAATTTATTACATAAACCTCACTAGCCAGCTACAGAACACCTTCGCGACTATTGACTCTGAGAGTCAAAGAATTTTATTAGATTATTTTTTTTATAAATTTTGATCCGTAAAATGTTACCAGCCTTTTTGTTTAAGGTCACACAGTATGAAACAACTAGCTAGTCAATGAAGTATAGATTGATCCATTGACGTGGTAAGCAGTATGGTATTTGTAAAGCAAACAAGTTATGTTTCAATATATATGTTTTTCATTATATCGTTTTAATTATAAGTGTTATATGTATATGGTTTGGTATATATTCAAAGATTATATCTGACTACCAACTGTTTGGCGTAAGTTTCAGTGTTGCATGAACCATAACAAGTAAATATTAACTAAAACGTCGATGCGGAAAAACAACATCAGAAGTCAACTACCCACAAAGTGTAACGTACTCTACGTGTTAGAGGTTAGATGATTAGACCAGCGTCCACTTATTAGTTGTAATATAACTTGTCATCGGAATTATTTTGACTCTTGAAGCTGAAGTAAAACACGTCCTCCTGATGCAGATATGTCTTATAGCGTATTAGCTTTATAAGTGATTCTCCTCAATATGACAGTATTTAGCAGATATTTAGATTGAAAGTCAGTTCGGATATCAGCATAATAACTTGATCATGTTGAATTGACTCTAACAGACTGTGAAAGTACATGTAATTTCTATTATTCATATTTAACAAAAGGTCAGCTAAGAGGATTTGTATCAGCTAGTTACCTACATTTCTCATAATTTCTTGTCTGATTTTTTACAATTGAATAATTTTCAACATACATAATGTAGTCGAATATCTGTCATACACGTTGGATAATATATTACTATTGGTATTGCTAAAGTTTGCTGATATCTCTATTAACTCGAATTAACTGCGAAATCCCAACTATGTTCTGGCGAGATTAATATTGTTTATAGAATACTTGAAAACACAACGAGTGTTCTTTTCCCTAAAAATAGGTTAAACATTGATAATTTATAAAGAAACAATGTTACATATGTAGGCCGTGATGCTGCGAAAAATCTCCCTACTTCAATTGTAATCTTCCTACTGCAATTGTAATCTTCCTACTTCAATTGTAATCTCCCTACTCAAATTGTAATCTTCCTACTTCAATTGTAATCTCCCTACTTCAATTGTAATCTTCCAACTTCAATTGTAATCTTCCTACTTCAATTGTAATCTCCCTACTCAAATTGTAATCTTCCTACTTCAATTGTAATCTTCCTTCTTCAATTGTAATCTTCCTACTTCAATTGTAATCTTCCTACTTCAAAACACAAATCTCCATTCATTGTGTTCCAAAGACATCACATGTATTTATTAATGTTAACGTTCTATTAACGGAACTGTAATCAGGGCTGCTTGGTCACATTTAAAAAGTTATTTTAGGGTCGTCTTTGTTCTTTCTTTTTTTTTCGAATCCCTTTTAATGATTTGTACAACCAAACTGACGACAGTTCAAACTGGAAAATTGGTCACAAAGCGTGGTCATGCATAAAAGATGTTTTAAGGAAAATACGATAATTACTGTTGATTAAATCGAGTTGAGGGAGTGTCAGGTGTCACATTTGGCTTTAATGAATCAATACACGAAAGAATATGTGTGTGTTTGTTTTCATTTAAAGAATCAACTATGCGTACGCTCCATTACAGTGATATGTTTTAGACTTGCGCACTTTCATTTTCGCATTGTATAGTACGAGGAGATAGCAGGATAGTTCGATAGACTTGCGGACTTTCATTTTCGCATTGTTTAGTACGAGGAGATAGCGGGGTAGTTCGATAGACTTGCGCAGTTTCATTTTCGCATTGTATAGTACGAGGAGATAGCGGGATAGTTCGATAGACTTGACGGACTTGAACATACAAATGCAGACATGGAAAGACTTTTCCAAAACTAGTAAAAGAACAAAATATAATCACTAGGCCCGTCCATATTTCATAACGAATTCACAATATTGTCCAACCGTTTTTTCGATCGCGTTAAACGAAAGTACGTTTATCAGAAATAACTACTATTTTTGTAAGCGTTTTAATTGTAAAATTACATAATATAATGAAGATATACATATCTGTTATTGTTATTACGTATATCATTCATCGATTGATTATAAGTATTGGCTATTAAAAAAAAGCAACGACTGCTAATGCTATGTCCAAACCGCAAATTTCATACCAAATATATAAACCCGTATAACTCGAATACACTGATAATTCAAAGTTTTTCTACGACCTCTTCGACTTCGATATAACAAGATTCGACTGTAATATCAATATGTGACGTGTGCGGTGCCTACGATTCTTTTGTTACGCTGATCATACCGCCTTTGTGACTGTTAGTCATCAGGAAAAATGATATAAAAATAACATCACAAATTGGAACTCTTGACAACAAGAGTTACATTTCAAATACGCATGGTTGAAACCGTTTCTCAGTTATCCAGTTAGAAATTAAACGGAACGATACTTCCAAAAACCAGAATCATGGGTACGTGTAACTATGTATTAGTTGTATAAGGATTGAGACTACCACATGAAGGAGTTCCTCTGTGTCTGACATTTTGTTCTGTTATTTGTATCCATACTTGATCAATTAGCTGAAATACATTGTTGATTACCTTCCGAAGCACCCGTGGATCCTGTCGGTGATAGTGTAGACACAGCTGGTGTAGTCGTCTCCTCAATCAGTTGACACCTTACTCCTACGTCCTCACTATGGCCACAGTTTTCATTTTGCCATCCTCCAAAAGTACAGTCAATAAGCCTCTGTTCGTCCCCTCGGCATTCGACGTTGTCCATCCATGTTGGTTCACTGCCTTCGCCGTAAGGTCCGTTCTTCTCAAAACTCACTGACCTGAATCAATAAGACGAGGTGATATTTGACCCCAAATAACAAGGACAAATATCTTTTAAGTCTTAAACAATTATAAAACATCAGATACCGCGAACACATCAATACACATGCAAGTCCCCACAAAAGAGATTTTTTTTATAAAAATCTCCACGAAACATTAGTGAACACACCGAGCCCTCTCCCATTTATCCCATTGCCCCAAATGAAATAATTAGGGATCTAACAAATCCATTCGTAATCCCAAAACGGAGGCAGATGTCATGAACACGAGCAAAAAATGTTTTGTTTCTGTTTCATGTTGTTATAACAGATAAATCTTATAAAATCGGTGTTCAGAGATAGATAAAGTGTCATCCTACTGTAATATCATACCCTGGAAACGAAAGCATGACACTACATCCGGTCACGTTAAATTGACAACGCGCTAACCAGTCCTTATCAACACCCTACTCAAACACATAGAGTCAGAAAGTTCTAATTTGTCTTTTGGTCAGGGGGAAAAATTCAACTTCATCATTGACTCGATTGAATGAACACTCAACAATTCAAAGGGCAAAAGAAAGGTACTGTCTCTGCTCCCAATATCCACGTTATCTAGTGTCCAGATTACTGCCTCAGTCTGTTTTCATATGTAATATCAAAACAAGCATACACAATACCAGGACTCGTACGAAACAGTTTACTTTTGTGGACTATTAACGTTATGCCAAAGAGTAAAATAACAAGAATTCAACAAAATCACATTTTACCGAAATTTAATTGACAATGCCTGCACAAGCATAAATTGTGTATGCAAGAAATAAATAATAATAAAATAAATGATATACAACATTTATAAAGCGCCTTATATAATTTGTAAAATTACTCTAAAGCGCTTTACAACATATGGATAATAGTAATGGTTACAATTGTGAAAACAAAAAACAAAGGCTTACAATCACTTTTATACATTTAAGCAAGCAATATACACATAATTGAACAAATAAAAGGGTGGTATTGCAAATAAAGCTGATGTGTAAAGAGGTACATATAGTACAACCGGTGAAATATTTATTTGTGATGTTTCGATAACTTAACAACGACTTGTGACAATCATTAGATGAATAAAAACTGATGAGAATGTGTTCCTAGGTGTCAAAACCTAATGTGATAATATCGTAGTCGGCAAGTCAATTAAGATCCGCTTTAACCGTTGGAAATTACGGTTCGGTTAACAAAATACTAAATGACAGTCGTATCGGCAAACCAGTATTCGAATGAAGGAACACCGGACTTTAGACGACCGTTCTTACAATCGTATCAACCTGTTTTCTGGTATACACCCTCCCACTAAATTGTGGATGATTAGTATGGCTGATGTCTTGCTTATATTATCATATTGCACTAATTAGGGGCAGTTGTGTTAAGGGGGGATTTCATTTAGGAAATTTAATGCACGAATATTGTAACTGCTGTTTGTTGGGTTCTTGGGAAAGTTTTGTTAACTATTTTAACTTGTGACACTAAATGCGGATCTAGCAATCTATTTGCGCAGGATTGTTTTACCTGGGCGCGTCACAACCACTGGATCCATTGCATTATATTAATACAGGCCTAACATGTTTCTATCATATTTATACAGAACTCACCTGTGTCCTAGCTGTCTGCACACAACATCAGTATTGTTCATGGTCCAAAGGTCGTCACAGACCGTTCCCCACTGACCAGCGTGATATACTTCAACTCGTCCCTCCAAAGCAGACAGACCATTGACTAGACGTAAATCTCCCTCTGTAAAATGTCCATTAAATGAAATCAAAGTGACTAATGACTATCAAAGCTGAACTGCATATGGTTGTCATATACTGTAGTACGTAAAACAGTACGCTACTTGTACGCGTACACATTACTTCGTGTTGGAGTCAAAGTATTTAAGAAAACATTATATCATATCTGCAATGAAGGTGAATTTGACATCTAACTATAACCCTTCATTATCAGAAATCACCTTCTCAAGTTACCCGAATACATGAAGAGATCTTGTAACTGCAGCAACAAAAGCTTCCCTTTTATTCAAATAACACATATGAGTTTAGTTATAGTCAATCTGAACAAATTTCCTTAAGAATTTTAATCTGATGGAAATGTTTAACCTCACCTTGCGGTGACGGTTGAGATGTCGGTTGCGCAGTTGATGTGGACAGTGGAGGCGTACACTCTACGCCGGCATCCTCGCCATGACCACAGTTTTCAACCCCCCATCCTCGAGATGAACAATCTGCCAATCTAGATTCGGAACCCTCACAGCCAACATCATCTAACCATGTTGGTTCTGAGCCTTGCCCGAAGGCGGCCTCTTTTCTAGCGGTGCCACCACTGGAATATGTGACCCATGTATGACATCCTTTATTATCCTTTATGCAAGTTGTTAGATCATTTAACGATATTCTAACAACAAGTAATGGCGGCCAGTCATGTAAAAGCATCATTGCTCCAAGTCCCTTATGTCCCTTATGTTTAACGTAATTATTCTAAATATCCATTTACAATCTGTAATATCCACTTACAATCTGTAATATCCATTTACAATCTGTAATATCCATTTACAACCTGTGATATCCACTTACAATCTGTAATATCCACTTACAATCTGTATCATAGATGTTCTCTTATACATATCACTGCAGTGATTATTACCCATCTCTCAGACAGACGGATGAAGAAGACATGTTAATCATAAACAAAGAGACATGGTGGTTCGTCCCTAAAGAAAATGTTCCCTTTTGTAAAAACACATATTAACGTACCTGAATCCTAGCTCTCTACAAACAACTCTGGCGTCAGCTACTCCCCAACTGTCGTCACATACCGTTCCCCAGACTCCATTGTGATATATTTCTACACGGCCTTCATATTCCGTCCCGCCATTTACTAGTCGTACAGTTCCTGTGAAATATTCATAAATGTATAAGGAACAATAATGCAATGTTAGACAATAGGAATCCGGTAACAAAGAAATGTATTTGGCTCCATTGTCAAAAAAATATGCTTTGACTAGTAAAAGAGGATCCTGCTTTCATTTATTTGCATGAATTCAAATAGATATAAACATATATATAAAGAAATATATATATTATGTCTAACTAAACTTGTACCGGTATGGAAACTTAACTTTTATTTATAAGCAGTAATAGGAATCGAGATCTTGATATACAACACAAACCACTAAACAAGAGCTGTCTGTAAGTTTAGAAAAAATTAAGTGCTAAATTATTATTTTTAGATATTACAAATTTTCTTTTTTGTCAAACAGATATGCTTTGACTAGTCAAAGAGGGTTTTGCGTTCATTTTTTTCATGAATTCAAATATATATAAACATATCGTATCATACAAGAAGAAATGGGCAGATTACTGAACCCGCTTTACAGCAGAACATTGGTGAGACACCATCCATATACCATTCCAATTGAGTGTAAACGTGAACACGACATGTCTAGTGTTTGAATAAAAAAGTATGCAAATAATTCGGGCATTATTATTTAGTATATCTGTGAGATACCACATTGAAAAAATGAGATGGCGGCCAAGTATGGATAAATAAAATAATATGATTATTATTATAAGTCTCTGTGTGTCAAAGAGGCGCAAATCACAGGCAAGGTTGTTTGATAGGTTATTTATCATCGTTGAGGTAAAATTTAAATGTTTACTGGCAATGCTTTCTGGTTAGCTATATCCAACAACAGACAGCAACTAATCGGAAATGATTATAAAAATATATAAAAGCCAGAAATCTTGTGCATTTAAAAGTCTTTACGTAGATTTTTAGAACAAAACATATATTTTCTACATAGAAACTGTGTTAACTTCGCATTGAATACCATACATTTTAGATCATGAAATGAATAAAACCGAGCCTCGCCCCCATAAGCCAGTCAACAAACATCTGGTTGCTACTATCCAGTCACCACTAACCTTATTGCTAATATCCATTCACCACATACTGGTTGGTAATATCCAGTCACCACTAATCCAGCTATTAACATCCAGTCGTCACAAATCCTATTGCTACTATCCAGTCACCACGTTTCTTGTTGCTACTATACAGTCACCACAAGTCCGGTTCCTACTATCCAGTCACCACGTTTCTGGTTACTACTATCCAGTCACGTATTTTCTGGTTACTACTATCCAGTCACCACGTTTCTGGTTACTACTATCCAGTCACCACGTTTCTGGCTACTACTATACAGTCACCACGTTTCCGGTTGCTACTATCCAGTCACCACAAGTTTGGTTGCTACTATCCAGTCACCACTTTTCTGGTTGCTACTATCCAGTCACCACGTGTTTGGTTACTAGAAATCCAGTCATCAATTTTCTGGTTACTACTATCCAGTCAGAACTAACCCGTTTAATATTATCCAGTCACCACATATACTGATGTTACTATCAAGTCACCACATATCCAATTGCTACTATCCAGTCACAACTAATCAGGTTGATTCTCTCTTTTTTTGATATTTCAAACAGGTAATTTATATCATGATACAATGATCTATTAACACCTATGAGATTAGAGAAAATATATCATCATATAAACTAGCAGGAAAACGTATCATACAATTCCACGATTACATCCAAACCTCGAAATGCATGTGATACACACACGGCTATGAGTTGTTCATAATTTCATAGAAGAAGAATGTGTTGCTTACATCAACTTTTTATCATACGTGTAGATAATAAACAATGACATCTTTTGAGTTAGACAGCTGGTTTTATTTTTTTCATTTTTTGCGTAAATATTAAATATTTTGTAAAACAAATAAGGTGATTTCCAAGCCTGAATACTCCGCCAACAATTAGCAGATAAACGTGTAATAGACATTGTACAGTTAACCCCTATCAAAACATTGAAAACAATAGTCGTAAAATATTGCGTCCTTCGAAGATGATGTTTTATACATACATTATATACAAAAACTAGCACACGAATGTTAATTACGTTAGCGTACCATACTGACAACACAAAAAGAAACGCACAGAAATTTAAAATGTTCACATTCTGATTAATTAATTGGGAATAGCTGTTGAAGCATAGCTACTATCACATGTTTAATGGTCAGAAGTATGTTTAATCATAGGAACCCTCATAGAGGTTACGTAGTAGCATTCGGAGTACAACTTTGAAGTGTTTTCTTCACAGTTACATATGTAAATGTGCCCATACAGAAATTATTGATCGATCGACATCATTGTATGCAGAACACTCGTAGGTTCCTTCATCAGATTCACGAATGTTTCTGAATACTAGTGTAGCTTTCGTTAGCCTTCCTATCGTTGTTACTCTAACAGTTAGATCATCCCCAGGTCCTCCGCCTATCCTTGTCCAAACTACTCGGGGCGCTTGAGCGGCGAAAGCGATGCAAATCATTTCCGCGGACATGCCGATCTGTGCGATAATATTCTCAGGTGTTTGAAGGAATCGGAGCTTATCTGAATAAAGAAAAATAACGAGTTTACCTTTAAAGTCAAACTGAGTCTCAAAAATATTTTTTCTGTGCATTCGATAAATATTATAATCACAGAACGTTAAACATACGATAAAAATCGGTAATTTCGTTTTCGAGAAACATCAGTCTGAACTTGTACTCTGCTCCTGCTTGGCAAAAATAGTTTGCATACTGGCACTTCTAGTGCCCCCCGTGACGTCACAAGTGTGACACTTTCATTACGGCTCACTGTAGAGATACCACAAAACCTATAATTTATCCGAGATATGTTTCTTAATTTCTTTAATATATTTACTCAGATACAGGTTCTAAAAATATACTTTTAGAGATCACCCTTTTACATTTTGATTGACATTTATGCTCTCATTTATCAGGGAAAAAAACACGATACGCTCGGAAAATATCGCAACCGACTTATCTATGATATCACCTATGTTGTTGAATTTGACAGTATAAACTGACTGTTACGTGTGCACTGTTACCGATTGTGTGTATATATGTATAGCTGAGTATAAGATATAAACTGACTGTTACGTGTGCACTGTTTACGATTGTGTGTATATATGTATAGCTGAGTATAAGATATAAACTGACTGTTACGTGTGCACTGTTTACGATTGTGTGTATATATGTATAGCTGAGTATAAGATATAAACTGACTGTTACGTGTGCACTGTTTACGATTGTGTGTATATATGTATAGCTGAGTATAAGATATAAACTGACTGTTACGTGTGCACTGTTTACGATTGTGTGTATATATGTATAGCTGAGTATAAGATATAAACTGACTGTTACGTGTGCACTGTTTACGATTGTGTGTATATATGTATAGCTGAGTATAAGATATAAACTGACTGTTACGTGTGCACTGTTTACGATTGTGTGTATATATGTATAGCTGAGTATAAGATATAAACTGACTGTTACGTGTGCACTGTTTACGATTGTGTGTATATATGTATAGCTGAGTATAAGATATAAACTGACTGTTACGTGTGCACTGTTTACGATTGTGTGTATATATGTATAGCTGAGTATAAGATATAAACTGACTGTTACGTGTGCACTGTTTACGATTGTGTGTATATATGTATAGCTGAGTATAAGATATAAACTGACTGTTACGTGTGCACTGTTTACGATTGTGTGTATATATGTATAGCTGAGTATAAGATATAAACTGACTGTTACGTGTGCACTGTTTACGATTGTGTGTATATATGTATAGCTGAGTATAAGATATAAACTGACTGTTACGTGTGCACTGTTTACGATTGTGTGTATATATGTATAGCTGAGTATAAGATATAAACTGACTGTTACGTGTGCACTGTTTACGATTGTGTGTATATATGTATAGCTGAGTATAAGATATAAACTGACTGTTACGTGTGCACTGTTTACGATTGTGTGTATATATGTATAGCTGAGTATAAGATATAAACTGACTGTTACGTGTGCACTGTTTACGATTGTGTGTATATATGTATAGCTGAGTATAAGATATAAACTGACTGTTACGTGTGCACTGTTTACGATTGTGTGTATATATGTATAGCTGAGTATAAGATATAAACTGACTGTTACGTGTGCACTGTTTACGATTGTGTGTATATATGTATAGCTGAGTATAAGATATAAACTGACTGTTACGTGTGCACTGTTTACGATTGTGTGTATATATGTATAGCTGAGTATAAGATATAAACTGACTGTTACGTGTGCACTGTTTACGATTGTGTGTATATATGTATAGCTGAGTATAAGATATAAACTGACTGTTACGTGTGCACTGTTTACGATTGTGTGTATATATGTATAGCTGAGTATAAGATATAAACTGACTGTTACGTGTGCACTGTTTACGATTGTGTGTATATATGTATAGCTGAGTATAAGATATAAACTGACTGTTACGTGTGCACTGTTTACGATTGTGTGTATATATGTATAGCTGAGTATAAGATATAAACTGACTGTTACGTGTGCACTGTTTACGATTGTGTGTATATATGTATAGCTGAGTATAAGATATAAACTGACTGTTACGTGTGCACTGTTTACGATTGTGTGTATATATGTATAGCTGAGTATAAGATATAAACTGACTGTTACGTGTGCACTGTTTACGATTGTGTGTATATATGTATAGCTGAGTATAAGATATAAACTGACTGTTACGTGTGCACTGTTTACGATTGTGTGTATATATGTATAGCTGAGTATAAGATATAAACTGACTGTTACGTGTGCACTGTTTACGATTGTGTGTATATATGTATAGCTGAGTATAAGATATAAACTGACTGTTACGTGTGCACTGTTTACGATTGTGTGTATATATGTATAGCTGAGTATAAGATATAAACTGACTGTTACGTGTGCACTGTTTACGATTGTGTGTATATATGTATAGCTGAGTATA